GAGACAGTATATATATATATATATATATATATTGGCCTCCTAGCTCTCTATCCACAACTTTTTACTCACTTTTTTTGTTCAGTTTAGTAGTTTAACTTGTATGCTCATCCTTTGATTATAGCACTGACCTACCTGTAGGACAAATAGGTTTCTCAACTCTTTCGTACCAATATCCATTAAAATTCTTAATCAAAACATGGATAAAATAATATCGAATAAGTTTATGGCCTAATTGTTGTTTTGTATTAATCTTGCACTCTTTTTTTGCGATGTGATTTACTCAAAGAACACAACTAAACACATTTTTAATCTTAAATCTTGAAGAGGAATCACTAGTTGACATTCAAGTTCTTAGTTCGACTACGGTACGGTATAGTTTGTTTTAAGAATACGGGCGATATTCTCATTATGAGGCTTAGGGAGTGGATTTTGTTTCGTGAGAAAAGATCCTATTATACCGTGACATGAGCGAACTAGGACCCTGGAATGATTGAACAAGCATCCCAAACTATAATTTCCTACTTAAAAGTGATAATTTTGGTGATACGTAGTTTGATATTCATAGCCTACTAATAACGGTTAAATACATTTTCTGTAAAAAGAAAATCCCCCTCGACAACAACACACACACACACAAACACACACACACGCTAAAAAGGTGATTGTCAATTATATATTTATTATTTAATATTTATATAAATATTATATATATATATATAAATATTATATATTTATATAAATTTAAGGATATTATATATTTATATAAATTTAAGGATGTATATTGTAGGCCTATATCCTAATATATTTGATAAAACCTATAGCAAATTATATTTTCATTGTGACATTTCGATGGTATGTTACTGATGCGGCCGAGGGAATGAGATGGATCGTATGTCGCCTGTATACGGTGTGTCATATTTTATGATTATGGCGTTGACACTAATTGTTTCATGTGCTTCCTTTTGCTCTATTGTAGTTTTTACTAATTTTCCTTTCTTTCCATTTTATTTTACTTCATCATTTTGCTATCTACCGGTACTTGTTATTCGAATCCCTCCCACCCCATTCGGGGCCCTGCCATTACGACTGGGTAAATTTTCGTATGAGAATACAATTTATGATGAGAATGAAGTGTTAATAAGAAACTGTTATAATCCTACCTACCTACACTTACTTCCGGTATTGAGTACTGATCGGCTTTATCCACCGCGTCTATTTGAGAGAGGTTCTTATGGTGTAAAATTGATGCGTATACTAAAATAAACCCCAATTTCACTGTTAAAAATGGAACTAACACACCCGTCAACATGTGTTATTGCATGATCATAAAGGCTTTTGATACCAACATTAATAGAATATGTCGATAATGATGTTGCTTCCAATAGATTTGTGTAGTCATGTGGGGATGGGGTAGTTTAGGAAAAACAATCGCCTCGGGGCGTTTATAATATTCTGTAAATAACAGGCGGCAATGGCAAATCCGGGGAGAACGTGTTCCCTGTTTTCAATTCTTTTATTTCAGACAATTAATATCCATATAATACAAAACAAAACAAGACAAGAGAAAAAGATCAGTCAACTGATTTAACTGCACACACACACATACA